AAGTCCTTTCTGTTCACAACCGGGGTCACGGGTGTGATGTTGTAGTCCTTTTTGTGGCTGAGACACTCGTCGATCTTCTTGACGCAAAGATATAAGATCTCAATCACATTTAGGAGTAAAGAGACACAGGCCACCACCAGCATGAACCAAATGAAGATACTTTTCTCAGTAGGCCTTGACAAGAAACAGTCCACCTTGTGAGGACACGGAAAACGGACACAGACGTATTGGGCCTGAAGAGTGAAGCCATAAAGGTAGTACTGGCCCAAGATGAAACCCACCTCTAAAAGTATCTTGCAAAGCAAACTCAGAATGTAGCTTCTCAAGAGACGCCCCCGAATGCTGACCTTCCCATTGTCCCTGCTGTACTTGGGAAATTTGTAGCCTTTCTTGAGGAACAGACTGATTTGCTCATTCTGAAGCTCTTTCTTCATCATCTCTCTCACTTTCTTTTCGACATGTATGACGTGGACGACGTGGCCCAGGTAGGCTAGAGTAGGTGTGGACACCGAGATGATCTGCAGCACCCAAAAACGAATGTGTGAGATGGGGAACGCCTGGTCGTAGCAGACGTTCTCGCACCCTGGCTGCTCTGTGTTGCAGATGAAGTCTGACTGCTCATCGCTCCAAACTCTCTCGGCACCGGCGCCGAGGACTAGAATCCTAAACACAAACAGGACGGTGAGCCAAATTTTTCCCACCACCGTTGAGTGCGTCTGGACTCTATCCAGCAGTCTTCCGAGAAAGTCCCACTCACCCATCTTTAATCTTAATTGAATTCCTGAAAGAAAAGACATTATTGTTAATTGGACAGAGCAGTTCGGCTGCAATTTATATGCAGTGATGCTCATAATTTGTTTTTCGCATATTTTATGCAAGCTCTATTGATGGATTCAGAAAATACTGTGCTTATCATCAAGTCAGGAGACAAACCAGGTTCTTTTCCATAACGAACATGGGAACCAAGGTTTTTGTGCTGAAAACCCAAAACATTGATAGTGACAGTGGCAATACTCTTTTCCGTCTTCAAGTCAGCTTGGTGTTTTTTTATAGTCTGCATAAGAATGACATTTTAAATACTTGTCTTCTTTGGGATTCAAAATGATTTGTTATTTTGATTAAAAAATATAGTAATATAAAAAATACAACAATAATTTTAAGGTAACAGGTCTGGAGGTTAAGTTAAACGTGCATCTTTCTTTCTTTCTTTCTTTCGTTCATTCTTTCTTTCTTACTTTAACACTGCCGTTCAAAAGTTTGGGTTTGATAAGACTCTTTCATGTTAGTGAAAGACATCTTATGGTAACCGAGGCTGAATTTTTTTTATCAAATAAGCATTAAAACAGTAATACTGTGAAATATTGTAGCAATTTAAAATGACTGTTTTCTAGATTTATATATTTTTGAATAATTTATTTTATTCTTGTGATGGCAAAGATGAATTCTCAGCATCATTACTCCAGTCTTCAGTGTCACATGATCCTTCTAAAAACATTCTAATATGCTAATTTGCTGCTCAAGAAAAATTATTATCAGTGTGGAAAACAGCTGTGCTGCTTAATTCAGAATTTATTTAAAATAGACATTTATTTGTAACATTATAAATGCCTTTTCTTTCAAAAAAAAAAAAAAAAAAAAAAACCTGACCCAAAACTTTTGAACAGTAGTGGAAATAAATAAAGAGAGAATATTATAAGTAAGCATTTCAGTGATAAATAACAAATAACTACACTTTTTGCTTACCAGATATAAGAAGACGGATAGGAAGTTTCACCCGCTCACTGAGGGCTCGAAGGGAGATGTGTGTAACAGGTTTTCTCTAAGCCTTCCTCTTCCTATTGAAGAGGCAGCTTCTGAACCAAAACAAAGATTATCACATTATCAGTGTGTAGACTCCAAACAATTTTCAGCCTTGACATCTGGAATTGGAATATTTATCATGTTCAAATTGGTTTCTTGTGCAAGTCTATATGACACGCATTATATAATAGCTTTTATATATTGTACTTTACATCTCTGCACTACTCCCATCTGAATATCAAAAATATTTGTTTTCAAACAGGTTTCCTAAACATGCGCCATTGCTCTTATCACCAGACAGTCCCGGCCCAAACTCATGCCACTGGTTGCGAGTTGGCCGTATATAGCTGTCAAAAGTGAAAGTATTTTTAGATTAAACACACCTTTAATTAAGTCTATTTCTAAAATAATTTCCATGCTGTATTTCAGTTTTGACTTTATTGTATGAATCCATTGCTGAAACAACATCCTATTCATGGTAAATGTATGGTAGTTACTTCTGTTAATATGAATGAGATTACGCGAGTAAAGTGCATTGTGTGTTCCTGGCAGAGGAGACACAACATTTGACTTTAACTACACTTTCAAAGATAATGCTGGCTGTCAGCATGACTGGAGTTTATACAATGGATTGTATAAACTCTAGTCATGCTGACAGCATATATAAATCTCAGACTTTTATCTATTACAAAATAATTTAACAAATTTCATGCAGTCTTTCACTAAATTTCAACTTAATGAAGATTGTGTATCAAATTTTTTCAATTAAAAAGTCTTTTTAGAATCATTGGGGCTTTTTATTGATCATTTCATAGTTGCAACAACTAAATGATACACTGCAATAACCAAACACTAGCTATATAATGGTACAATGAAGATCTATTACCGCTAAGTATAGCCAGTATACTCAAAAACACTTGGAATCAAAAATAAATACTTAATTTACAAAAACTTTTTTTCTAAATATTTGAATCTGACCTTTGCAAAATGCATAAAGAATGGATTATAGAAAAAAGCAGTAGTGCATAAACATTATAGATTTGTCATCATGTTCCAACCATTCAAACCACTTAGAAAAAAGTTTTGTGCAAACAAATATACTGAAAAACTGAGGCATTTCACTCAGAACTCAGTATGGGGGGGTAAAGGGGCAGGGGGAGTAGTCAATTTCCATTTTAAACACTTTAATCACTTATGTTATTCTAAGCTTGGTCAAAATCAACTCTGCAACATCAGTTTCGTGAACCAGGTCCTTCACATGGAGGGGAAACATCCCTGTCAGGTGGCCCTTGTAAACACGCGTGATCCCAGCATCCATACCCACTCTGGCATGCACTGCACCAGTCGAAACTAGAAAAAGAATAACATAGACTTACTAAATATTCATACCTTGTTAAAAAAAAACAAAAAACATTGTCTACAATGATTGATTGACTACCTTTATGGTGTGAGGCCAGTATCCTGTGGTTCGGTGAGAGACGCCCAGAGTTGAAAGAGCATGGCTGGCATACACTTGTGGGCTTGGCACCAGCCAGCCAGCAGGACTATAACCATCAGATCCTTGAGATGAGACTCTAAAAGGCAGCAAACTCTGCACAAAGACTCCTCGATGACCATATTCATAGTGCAGAGAGCGACTGAAGTTATCAAGAAAAGCCTGTGGGGAATTTAAAACACAGAAGAATCATAAAAACAAAAATCTATAAAAAACATACAGTACATAGAGTGCTGCAGGATGACATTTTTATAGGCCAAACCCCAAAAACAAGTTAGCACTTCTGGTTCCTTGTTTTTTTTATTTTTTATTGTTAAATGCCTGAAATAAGGTCTGTGATTAATACAAGCTCAAGATATTTAAATGTTTTATTTTAAAACATAAAATACATCAGGACTACCCCTAAGTGTTTTTTTTTAAAGCTTTAACTTGCTAGTTGCTAACAAGTGGTTAAATGGGCTAGAAAGGTTGTCAGTGACATTAAATGTCATCAAGCCAAACTGATAAACTCATCTACTCACTAGTCTGCGTTTACAGCCTCACTGTTTTTATTGTCACACTCTTGCAAACTTTCAGAGAAAATGTTTTTTTTTTAAGTAAAGACTGAATTCGTTTTTGGAGACATTTAAGTTGTGTGACTGTAGTATATTTCATTTATGGCCTATGTTTAACTTTTAGCGATTGTATTTAGGTTTCAAAATAAGGGTTATCATGATTAACAGCATGTCTAAGAATCAAACTTTTTTGGTCAAGGAGCTTATTTTCTGCATTAATCCGAAAGCCAAATGAAAAATCCTATTGGGATTTTGTCAAGAGAACAAGGGTAATGCTAACTTCCCAGTTGGCTTACAAAAACACACGATCACCGCAGCACTGGATGGAAAATGAGTGGACAAGTAGAGATCTGACCGTAGATGCAGAAAGAGCAGCCTCTCTGGAAGTCGGACGCAAGCAGCGCCCAGCAGAAATGTTGACCACTGCTCCTTTTCCCCTTTCCACCATAGCGGGCAGTGCCAGGCGTGTGACAAGAGTGGCAGCTACTATATTTCTATTGATAGTATCCCATACTACAGATTCAGAGAGGTCTGTAAAGTCTTGCGAATGGTCTAGAGACCCATCCAGGCTGTTAACAATGAATCCAATATCTTTACCACTGATGGCATCTTTAATAGGTTTGAAGGCCAAGGGCCCCTGACTGAAATCAGCTTCAATTAAAATGGCCTCTACTCCGTAAGTGTCTGAAATGGCTTTGGCAGTGTCAGCCAAGTTACCGATGTCACTGCTGATTAGAATCACACAGATGCCATGCCTTGCCAGTTCCTCTGCATATGCTTTCGCTATTGCCTCTGAAGCTCCTATTGGAAAACAAGGAAAAAGTGGCATTTTTTTTTAAGTTAGGTAAATATCAGTATGCAGTATTATAACATGCATTAAGTATGCATGAATTATACAATGAAACAAGATGATTATTCACTTTTAAACCTACCACATACAAGAGCCCATTGTCCATATTGCTGACTAAGGTCTCTATGGGACACAAGACGAGGAATAAAATGAAGCCTTATCAGGCTATAGCAGTCCCTCATAAATATCACAGCCTTGCTGACTGTGTAACACGCAACCACGAGCGCGAGCGTTTCCACATAACAACTGCACGATCTGGCAATTTCTCGATACAAAAGCTGGAAGCTGTCAACAGCGGCCATTATAATTCATAGTGCAGAGAGCGACTGAAGTTATCAAGAAAAGCCTGTGGGGAATTTAAAACACAGAAGAATCATAAAAACAAAAATCTATAAAAAACATACAGTACATAGAGTGCTGCAGGATGACATTTTTATAGGCCAAACCCCAAAAACAAGTTAGCACTTCTGGTTCCTTGTTTTTTTTATTTTTTATTGTTAAATGCCTGAAATAAGGTCTGTGATTAATACAAGCTCAAGATATTTAAATGTTTTATTTTAAAACATAAAATACATCAGGACTACCCCTAAGTGTTTTTTTTTAAAGCTTTAACTTGCTAGTTGCTAACAAGTGGTTAAATGGGCTAGAAAGGTTGTCAGTGACATTAAATGTCATCAAGCCAAACTGATAAACTCATCTACTCACTAGTCTGCGTTTACAGCCTCACTGTTTTTATTGTCACACTCTTGCAAACTTTCAGAGAAAATGTTTTTTTTTTAAGTAAAGACTGAATTCGTTTTTGGAGACATTTAAGTTGTGTGACTGTAGTATATTTCATTTATGGCCTATGTTTAACTTTTAGCGATTGTATTTAGGTTTCAAAATAAGGGTTATCATGATTAACAGCATGTCTAAGAATCAAACTTTTTTGGTCAAGGAGCTTATTTTCTGCATTAATCCGAAAGCCAAATGAAAAATCCTATTGGGATTTTGTCAAGAGAACAAGGGTAATGCTAACTTCCCAGTTGGCTTACAAAAACACACGATCACCGCAGCACTGGATGGAAAATGAGTGGACAAGTAGAGATCTGACCGTAGATGCAGAAAGAGCAGCCTCTCTGGAAGTCGGACGCAAGCAGCGCCCAGCAGAAATGTTGACCACTGCTCCTTTTCCCCTTTCCACCATAGCGGGCAGTGCCAGGCGTGTGACAAGAGTGGCAGCTACTATATTTCTATTGATAGTATCCCATACTACAGATTCAGAGAGGTCTGTAAAGTCTTGCGAATGGTCTAGAGACCCATCCAGGCTGTTAACAATGAATCCAATATCTTTACCACTGATGGCATCTTTAATAGGTTTGAAGGCCAAGGGCCCCTGACTGAAATCAGCTTCAATTAAAATGGCCTCTACTCCGTAAGTGTCTGAAATGGCTTTGGCAGTGTCAGCCAAGTTACCGATGTCACTGCTGATTAGAATCACACAGATGCCATGCCTTGCCAGTTCCTCTGCATATGCTTTCGCTATTGCCTCTGAAGCTCCTATTGGAAAACAAGGAAAAAGTGGCATTTTTTTTTAAGTTAGGTAAATATCAGTATGCAGTATTATAACATGCATTAAGTATGCATGAATTATACAATGAAACAAGATGATTATTCACTTTTAAACCTACCACATACAAGAGCCCATTGTCCATATTGCTGACTAAGGTCTCTATGGGACACAAGACGAGGAATAAAATGAAGCCTTATCAGGCTATAGCAGTCCCTCATAAATATCACAGCCTTGCTGACTGTGTAACACGCACCCACGAGCGCGAGCGTTTCCACATAACAACTGCACGATCTGGCAATTTCTCGATACAAAAGCTGGAAGCTGTCAACAGCGGCCATTATAAGCTGAGATCCCTACAGTTATTTACTTTAAATTAGCAGCCAATGAAAAACAACAATCTTTTATATTCAACGAGTTAGTTTGCTCCCAACTAGCTTGACTATGTTTGTTAATACGAGTACTATTTCACCTGATTCTCCTCTTCTTCTTCTTCTTCTTCTTCTTCTTCTTCTTCTTCGGTCTTGTGTCACGTCATGTGAATCAGGAAACCCAAAGTCACGTGACACGCTCGCGTCACGTGATCAACACTAGCGTCTTCTTCAGTTAGCGTCAAACACATGCAAACATCACCTTTCATCGTGTTTCTGTGGTTTTATCGTAGTTATTTTTGCAATATGCAATAAACTTTGCTAGACATGGAATACATTAATACGGTTGTGCCGTGAATCTTATTTTCACAGCAATTATTTTTGCAAATAACTGGTGTTTGATTGCGGATGCCTCAGCTCAGCTGGGCTTGTTTCCATGGAAACGCTACTGCTAACGGATGCTAAGCTGATTTATATACAGCTCTGTGCTTTATGAAACGTCCGATTATGAAAGATTTCTAATGTTATGGAAGCGACGTAGCTGATCTGTTTGTACATTTTGTGAAATTATTGCAGGTAATGTTCAAAACTTCCCATGAGCTGTATGTGGAATGTATATTTGTTAATGAGAAAATACAAGCTTAAATGCCAACACTTGAATTCTGAACATCTCAGTTTTAAGTAACGTTACTTAACGTTACATAATATTTAATGACTTAACTAGCGTATAATGCATTACTCCGATGTTGGGATATGATGTAGCCTAAATGTTAGTATTAGTGTATCTATATTTAATATTTTAGCTATATTAGTTAGCTCTATGTATATGTACCAAATATGTATATATGCATACGCACTTGACATGATTCCATGTTTCTTATGATTTGGAAATGGCTCTAATGTGTAAAATTAGTATTACAGACATATACAAATTGTGGCTACATATTAATTTCGTTATTTTTGTATTTATATTACTGTTTAATGGATTGAGTCGGATACTGAATGAAAAGCAGCCTAGTGTGCAGCATACATGGAAACTCCATCAATACTGTTTTAAAATCATTCCAGGAATCTATAGACTGAGTATACTTCCCACCTCTGTTACTACAGGTCAAACACACCATACTTAACACCTTGTTTCTCTAAGCAGGAGATCGCCTGTAGAGAAGAGCTGATCACACCCCCGAGAAGTGATGTCTCAGTTCTCAAGCGAGGATGAGGCAGAGCTCCAGAGCCTGCTGCGAGAGCTCCTGAAAAGTGTCAAAGACAGAATCTCAGGAGCACCATCGGTAGAATGTGCTGAGGAGATTCTGCTTCATTTGGAGGAAACTGACAAGAACTTTCACAAGTAAGAGAAATGTCTCTTCCAGTAGATGTTAAGACTGATTGTGATTACCGTTTGTTTGATCTATTTTCATGCCCTCCCTCTGTTTTTCAGCTATGAGTTTGTGAAGTATCTGCGGGAGTATGTAGAGAGCTGTTTGGGAGCGGTTATTGAAGAAGAGACTGAGAATTTAACCAGGGGTGATGGTCATGCTGTGGGGTCTGGGCAGGACACCCATGCTGTTACGAAGAGGACTAGGGAGTCCACACAGTATGTGTTTTTATGATTCCTGTTACCTTGTGTTTCTTGATATGATATAAGATGCTTTTGTGGATGTTTGCTCACTGCATGATGCAATGCAGTGAGAAAGTAAATGTTGTCTGGAATCATTTGAAAATGAAATTAATGATGAAATGAGATGATGAAAGTGAAAGTACCATGTGTTTTCCGATGTAACTAATAAGATGTTTTACTAGATGCATTGCTTTCTCATTGCATGGTGCAAAAATATCAGCACAAATGTAATTTTGCAAGTAGTTTGATATAGAATAGTTTCAGAGAAATTCAATTTCAGCAGTTTTCACATTAATTTTCTCCATAAACATTTTCAAAATTCTTTCAGTAAAAAGCTCTAAGTCATGAAACCAACCAACTATCTCCAGAATGAATAACAGCATTACAGTAACTGATTTTAAGCAAAAAAAAAAAGGCTTAAGACTGTGTATTTAAAGGGGTCATATGATGCGATTTCAATTTTTCCTTTCTCTTTGGAGTGTTACAAGCTCTTGGTGCA